TAGTGCATATTGGACGTGAAGAAGGGAGCAAGTTGCACGTGGGGGAAAAAAACGCGCTTGATTTAAATGTCACACCTGAACGCTCACATCCTTTTAATTATGTTTGAAATTATGGATATTGCTCAACATCATGAAAATTAAACCTTATTTTCAATAAGCAATCCTGAAAAATATTTGGGGGTGCTTAACTTTTTTCCAGGTGTATATATTACAGAAATATTCTACAAATGTTTTAGAGCTGGCAAATAGAATGAGAATCTTATTCTGTTGCCTTATGCTCGTATATTGACATAAGTATACGAACATATTATAACTTTCGATATGTAATTAAAGATGTGATATTTTCATTTCATGAAATTATTTTAATTTCAGACATATCTGTTATAGTTTCAAATCTAACCTTAAATATGTATTTCTTCTTGTAAATTAATGGGTATTTTATACAGCCCTTAATATGAACGTCGTGCACATAGTCTTTTTTCAAGTTACAGTACAAGCTAAGCCTATTTTAAAGACATACCGGGGTTTTTGTAATGATAGCTTTATTTTTAGTATGTTATGATCTCATACCGATTATTGACAGACATTAACCTTACCTATCATTACTGAACCCATACATATGTATTCACCAGGTTTACATGATGCTGAAACATAAACATGCGTGGGTTAAAAAAAAAAAGACAAAAAGTTAAAATACCCTTTTCATCAGTCTCAGTGAAGTTCTGTCTTGAATTTACTACGTATTTCAATCTTTCTTAATGCTTGTATATTTTATTCTTCCTCGTGTACCTGCATTTGTAGATACGGCACAGAATTGTGCAACTTTGATGCTCTTCCGATTCATTGTATAGTTCGCATATAACAGATTTATTCTGCAAATTTTAACCAAGCTACCTGTATTGTTGATGCTCCACGGTTGAAGCCACACGCAACTTCCTGATTAACACCCACATTATTCTCCCAAGGAAGTAAAGATTCACCTGTAAAATAAAAGTTTTAAGTTTGTATGTGTGTATATCTATATATCTGTATACCATCAAAAGTGTACATTAAATTTTAATATGATATACATATCTTCACACACCAATATTTGAACAAAACTTGCATCAATTAATTTTTCACGTCTTTTACGTTCAGATCATCAAAAACATCTTCCAGCACATTTTTGTCGTTCTCTACAAGTGACTTTTTTTGAAGTGTTCGTGCTCAGAGGAATCTAGTAAACCGTTCCTAGTTTTATTTATTTTCCATTTTGTATCTTATTCTGGTTATACTAAGAATCTTTGATTGAGTGTTATCGATTAACCAAGCGAAGTTCATTGAAGCTTGTTTCACATTTTGAAAACTTGTTGCCGAGTGATAGTCGTTGAGTCCAATCAAGGGGATCTTCTTCTATAAACAATGGCCTGGAATTTTAATCATCTGCTTTGTTTCATATGTGTACAAAAAAAAAATTGTTATCGTTTTCTTTCACAGAATATTTCTACGTTCTTGGCTTGTTATAAATGTTTTCATACATAATAGTCCTAACAGAACGAGAATCCTAATCAGATACATGGATTACTATAGGTCTGTCCATAATTACACGCAATGTCTATCAACGGTTGATGGTAAGTAAGTGTGTCCAAAACAAGGTTTCACAAACTTACTTCTGCTGCATAATGTCACCACAAACATCTCCAGAGAAGGATTTTATATTTTACTGTTAGTACAGTGGCGTAGGAAGCGGGGATGAGGGGAGAAGTTTTCAATCTGTACCAGTAATAGGGCGTTAAAATTAGGAAAATCACTCTCAGGAAAAGTAGGAGAATGCGTAAAATTTAATCCAGAAGCAAAAAGCATCCAAGGCCCTAAGGCGTGCTCTGGACCCAGGCCGTAATGGGTGCGCCTGCGGCGCACGTTCCCTCGCTTTGCTCGGTCAAATAAACCCCTCATTTTTAATTTGCTTCCTAAACCTTTGTAATACCCCTTTAATGTTTTTATCTTCGCCAAATTTATCTATTTGTCGCTTCAGTGAAGAGAAGGGCCCATATCACGTGATTGGATCTAATTTGAACATTCTCGATCAGCTGTTTCGAATCCATGAGATTCTTTTAACTCTGAGGGACATTAAACATAAAACTGTATATATATACAGTAATGTGGTGAGTTATATATATATATAACAAACAAACGGTGGAATCGAGAACTCACAAAACTAATTTGAGAATACTAAAAATGGTATGAAAACTCTTGTCAATGTATTTTAAAGCTTTATGGGCTGTGAGGTTTTATGCATTTATGTGTATGTAAGCGATATCATCGCAAAATTGGTACTAACTTTTCTTCTATATCATAACATTTCTGGAATCAACCTAAACCATACTTTTGGTACTAATGATAAAAAACCGTATGACGACTGAAATTGTACTCCCCAGACAGATATTCAAACAAATGCAAATATAGTAGAATTGTCACATATATAGTTTAACTTCCAAATTATAATGGAATTTCATCGTCATTTACCATATCATACATTTTACTTGCTCCGACAAAATGAAATATTATTCAAAAACCTATAGAACTCACATGCAATTCACTTACACAAGTCCCCAATATGCAGAACCAATTTATAAGTGTCTAGTAATGTTACTAAAACTTTATTTGATTATCAATAAATATATTAAAAATCTATACGAAGCCCAATCTATCATTCCATTCACCACTTGTCATCGAATTATATCGGTATCGACGAAATCCACTCCTCATCAGCAATCCTGGACAAGGGCAAATCGAACCACTCCTCATCAGCAACCCTGGACAAGGGCAAATCGAACCACTCCTCATCAGCAACCCTGGACAAGGGCAAATCGAACCACTCCTCATCAGCAACCCTAGACAAGGGCAAATCGAACCACTCCTCATCAGCAATCCTGGACAAGGGCAAATCGAACCACTCCTCATCAGCAACCCTGGACAAGGGCAAATCGAACCATTCCTCATCAGCAATCCTGGACAAGGGCAAATCGAAAAAAAGGATCACCACTACAAGAAGCCTTGTCTTATTTTTTCGGTTTGATCTTATTCAGGATTATTGATGAGGGGTGGATTTCCTCAAAATCAATATAATTCGATGATAAGTAGTGAATCGAATGATAGATTGGGCTTCGTATAGATTTTTAGTATTTTAAACAGCTTGTCTGCTGAATCATTTAGAAGAATACATTAGTAGCATCAATGCTACTCATTCTTGAATCTTATATATAAATATATGTTCACTGTGGTGAGTAAACAACCAAAAACACCACACACACACACACACATATATATAAAAATGAAGACGTTATACAAGGGTTACAAAATTTTAGCCATGTGAATTATGTCATCAATTTTAAATCCTGTTAGCATTATATATTTTATTTAGTGTTTTTTTTAATGTTGCGTAATGTAATTTTTGTGCTCCTTGGAAATCTATATGAATCTAATAGTACTGTCTGTTGTATGTCCATGTAACTACTTCGTAGGGTGTGGATGGTATGGAGTTTCATTAGGTCCACGCGGGGTACATAAAATTTTCAGTTTTGCATTTTGCGGTTTCACATGTTGTTTTGCAGTTTTTATGGACGTTTTTGCGTTCTTTACAATTACATATAAGGGAAGCAACTTTTCATGTCCTAAGATAACCTTTCATTAATTAGCGCAAAGCTACACAATGGTCTATCTACGCTTTGTCTACCACAGGAATTGAACCCCGGATTTCAGCGTTGTAAGTCTGTAAACTTACCGGTGATCTCTGTAATAACGAAATAATTGTGGTAACAAATATTTTGTTCGTTTAGTAGATAAACGCAAAGCTACACAATGAGCTATATGTGCTGTGCCCACCACGGTATCGTTGTGCCACTGGGAGGGGGGGGGGAGGTATAGAAGAAATTTATAATATATATATAAGTTTATATACATTTCTGTGCTGTAGTTGTCAATCCAAAGGATTCAGTGAATCATAAGAAAAGTTCAATTATGGATTTTTACCTAAGTTTTTGAGAGATTTGATGGCTCTTAAACTAGTATAGAATTAAAATGTATCTTTGTTTCTTGGTATGTTTGCTTTGGAGTAAATCCACATTGAGCTATATGCTGTTTCCACCTCGGGGAATCAAACTCCAGATTTTTTAGCGGTGTAAGTCCGTAGACTTAACCACTGTCCCGCCAGGGGACGGAATGTATCTCAATAAAACGTCTACGATTCATATAGACTTCAAATAAATATATTTAATACCGTTTCGTTTACAGGTTTTGACTATTTCAGCAATCATTGGTATCGCTAGAAGTTGATTAAAACAATTAAAATAAACATCAAGAAGATATAATGAGATGGTAGAAATTCTATTGTAAGAAAAACTAAACTAAATTGTTTTGTTTTGTTTATGAATTTTTGTAATAATAATACAGTGTATATGACTAAATAAGTTGCTTTTATTACAATGCTCTTATTTTACTGTACACTCACAAGAAATAAACTTTAAACAACTTAAATATGGGCAAAAATATTTTGTTATGTCGTTTTATTATAAATTTGAGAATTAGGAGTTAATCTTTCAAATAATCGAAAAAAACACTAAAACATCTAACTTGCATCGACTTATCAACAAGAGGCCTGGTATGATCTGGTGATTAATGTGCTCGACTCGCAATCTACGGGTCACAGGCTCGAATCCTACCTCCAAACATGTTCACCCTTTCAAAGTTGGGGGCGTTATAAAGTAACGGTCAATCTAACTCTTCGATTAGAGTAGCCCAGGAGCTGGCGATGGGTATGATGACTAGTTGCCCCCCCCCCTCCATTCTATTATTTCTGAATTAGGGACATCTAGTGCAGCTTTTGTGTAGCTTTGCGCGAGATTCAACAAGCAAACATTTCTCAATAACTTAACAAATTCAATGATATTTTACACATGAAAGACATAACAAAGTTTTTAAATAGATACTGTTGCTTTGGCACAAGTCTAAGGTTGATGTATCGCTATGTCCTTCAGCGTATCTTCTTCTAGTCTAATAAACAGGATTGCTATACTTATCATTATTATAATTCAAACAGTCTTCAATATTTATGATATTTTTAAACTAGAGTCTTATAAGTTTGCTGCGGAATAAAAACAATTCAATATATATCTTACTCTCCTTATTAAGCAGACAAAACAACTGAACTACTTACGACTAGAACAAACATGACAGGAACGATGAATATAAAGTCGAAGTTGTCTTTACTTTGCCAGGGACACCTATAGGGAAATACGAAGACATTAACATTCGAAATCGAACTTCTATCAACAAATATTATTATACTTCCTCATGATACACTTTCTAAAATGAGTTATCTCAACGAAACAGAAAGTGAAACATCAATTTCTATCCGGTCACCAATGAGACGATCCAAACAACATGGTTTGTCAAGAGTTTATTGTTTCTGACGCATCCGAGTCCCATGTTGTCTTAGTGCTGCTACACAACGAGAAATATTTTTCAAGCAAGCAAGGATCAATTATAATTACTAAAGCAAGTTTTTTAAAGATGAAAAAGAAAGACCGTATCTTATCAAAAAATAAAAATAACAAAGCCATTACATCAAAATAGATACATTGTTTAGCAAGTGTAGCGACGACTTAAGCCTGAAAAGTACCTGATATCCTAAGAAAATGCTGCCATATGTCTTCAGGCAGGTGTTTTATGCAATTTACTTCTTTTATTGTTTCCAAAGCTTAGTAAGTTGATAACTACTGGAAGAGATTATAGTTTATCTTTCACAAAGATGAACTCCAGACAGGCGTTATGGTAAGAAGTCATAAAAAACAAAAATGGTTGATTTATTTCCACAATAATTTATTGATAGGTGACGTTTCGTATTTAGGTTTGAAAAAGAGTGGTAGCCTGAAACGTTAGCTATCAATAAATTTAATTAATTTGGAAATGTATAAATCCTTCAAGTTTTTTTAATGCTTTTTTATTGCCGAATCATTTTCTACTTTCAACTGTTAGGTAAAAAGGAGCCATTTCTTGCTGTTGCAAACCTTATAATATGATGATTGACAACCTCTTGATGCCCATGGGTATTAATAATGTAGATTGTTCACAAAAAGGTTCTATACCCGACGTGTAGAAAGCAGCCCACACCACAATTCTTCATAGGTTACAGAACATAATTACGGCTCATTTGTTTTCTTGCCCGTTTCCCAATCCATATTTGACAATCACTTTAAAAATGAATGAGACAACCCTCTCTTTACTTCAAAATATTTATAACTATGAACTTCAAGATTCTAGTGCTGATAGGCTTGACAACCAAGTAAAACGCTGTCAAATATTTCGGGGTTGATGTGCGATTAGCATAACCCAGCCCTTCTAAAGTACCCATTTTAATGGTTTGTTTGTAATTAAGCATAAAGCTACACAATGGGCT